ATCTCTCTCTCTCTCTCTCTCTCTCTTCTTTTGTTTATTTTCCTTTTTTTTTTTTTTTTGCCTTCTTCTTTTCAAAAATTAGAGAGACAATCACAACAAGAATAAAACTACAACCTTTCTGCTGATACTGTATTTATAGGACCAGCCCTCCTCCACCAACACTCGGCACGCCCACCTGCTGACTGAGCCTCAGCACAGCCGCTTTCAAAACAACTTGCCAGCCAGTTGGCCCGACCGCTGCTGAACCACATCACGACGGGCAATGAAGTTTTTGCCAACCATCACTTTCTTCATCTCTGCAGTGATTCTGGCATTCTTTTTTGGACAACCCTCGACCCCTCATAACTTGCAGACCAAAAAAAAACCATCCCAGCTCGCCGCCATGCCAGCCCAGAGGTAGCCTGAACTCAACCTGCCACATGCCGAAATGAACGGGACGTGCCGCCAACACCCTGCTCGCATCCTTTCGGCGCCCCATTTTCTCTTGTCCCCCCCGTGTCCGAGCACCAGTTACAAAGTCCATCAACTTACTGCAGCTTGCAAATGTCGTGCACCATTCGTGACGAAATAATGAGCTTCACCTTGAGCTCCTGCTCTTCATTGATACGACCCTGATTTCGGCCAATCGAGGCAAAGAACAAACGAGGTCTAAATTTCCAGTCCTTCTTCAAGGGCCATTTCCGTCTTCTAGCGCCATTCCAATGGAAACGGCTTCTCCTGGCGGCGTGACTTGATGGGCCCGCTGGAATGCAGATGCCCACTAGCTTAGCACACACGGCCATGGTCCCTGTTTCCAGCCAACAATGTTTTTACTGTTCTCTCCTTTTCAAACGGTTTCTTTTCCCGACTATGCGTGACTGACTACTAGCCTTTGCCTGCGTGCGGAAACCGCAGCTTCCAATCAGTTATTGCAGCCCTGCTTTGAACATTGCCTCATCTTGGTCGCGTGCAACTCGAGGTCTGGCTCGGGGGAGAAAACATGAAAGAAGAACAGAAAAAGACAAAAGAATCTACAACTCCCGAGTCATTAACATGAAATCATGGTCCCAAACGTCGTTAGATGAATCCGTCGCCAAGGCGGCGCCACATGTGACATTGGAGCACGAGCAACCACCGCCAAGTCCCTGACCAAGGCAAACGCGATTGTACAAATCGACATTGTCCGATACCTCTTCATCATTGCATCCCGTCTTGCTGATTAGGCGCCTCCAATATATACGACTGTAGAGCTCTCGAACGCAGAGCTCTAAGAAAAAAGAAATGCTGCCGCTCTGTCAGCGACCGATGCACCCTCACGACAAGAAGAAATATTATGCGACACACTTCACTCATCTTTAAAGGGGACCACTCGTTCGTTGCACTTCGGCCCAATCCATTGACGCTTAGTTTGACTGTTTAATTATATACAAGTGCCACCTCCTTGCAGCCATGAAACGATAAACCCCCCTATAAATGGGCTTCAACACCCAGTAGTAATCTCCGACATGATTGAATTGTATACGCGAATCTGTTTCGGTTGTCAAGAAGAAAGAATGTCAAAAAAAGTGTACATGTTGTGGATGTGCATGTGTGCTTGTGTGTGTGCTCTGCCTTTGTCCCTGTTGTGACAAGAATGCGTTGCTTATGAGTTATTCCGTCTATATGCCAGTTTCAAAGGGTCGACGAGGAAAGGGAAACGAAATGCAAGTGATGCTGCTTGTGGTCCAAATCGACTCCGTAAAGTGTATGCCGAGGGATGTATGAAGGAAAAAAGTACAACGTGCCCTTGCTAAAAGCAAACTCCGAAACAAAATGCCTGGTCCCGTATTGTATGGTTCGCTTATTGACGCATACCCCATTGAGGCTTCAGCTGGTCACCGAAATTGCTGGTGGTGAAAACAGTATCGCCGGGCAGACGGCTGATACGACCGGCGCCACTTCTGATGGCGCCAAGCTGGACGGCTGAGATGCCACTGCGATTACTCTTGATGCTGCCGGCGTCGCTCTTGTCGCTTTCGTCCTTGAATCTCTTGGGCGGCGCAAAGTCGAGACCGGTAAACGTCGACGACTTGCGGAGCAGATGCGGGCTGGGGAGGGCAGCGAGCTCGTCAAAGGCCGTGACGAGAGGAGAAGCGGCAGCGTGGCCAGGCTTGTACGGTCGGCGTTCGCCTAGAGGGCTCTGGCTACGGCCAGCAGCTTGATCCCTGAACAGTTCTGGCGGTGCAAAGTCCATGGCATTAAGGAGAGCCGTATCGTCTGTAAGCTTAGAGGGCGTCGGTAGGGTATTGAGAGCAGCAGGCGGGGGAAGCTTGTTCTTAGGCGGGGCACGACCAAATTGGCCGTGAGAACCAGCGCGCATGCGACCAGGCCCTCCAGGAAGGCTCATTCCACCAATGGAACCAGGGCCACGGGGTCTTCTAGGACCAGGCGGGCCGCGACGGGCACCTCCAGGAGGAGGTGTCATGGCCCGGCGAGTAACGGGCTGAGCGTATGGCATAACAAAAGCGTTGCTATCGGCATCGTAGTAGGCAGCATCGCCCAGGTAACCAGCATCGTACTCTTCGTGGTGTTCTTCTTGGCCTGGCAGAGGTGGTGCGTCGGCATAGTCCTCAAAATACTCCTTATAAAAGGACCTAATGCGATTGGCGCGGTACTCGGGGTCCTCAGATTGGGTGACCTCTGCGGGTGGCAGGGGCACGACACCAACAGACAGTCTTTTGGCCGCTGTCTGCGGAACACCCAAGCCATTTGTGCGGCCTCGCTGCATGTCTTCGACCTCATAATTTGTGTCTTCATAATACTCTGTAGTCTGAATTTGAGGGTAAGCGTCGTTGTGCTCATCGTAGGCAGCTTGGCTAGCATCAATGGGATAGCCATGTGTATCATCGGGAGACAAGACTGTTGGCAGTTCGCCGTTGAGACTCAGGTCATGGTCATGGGGATTTTGATGACCCAAGTCATCGCTAAGCTGCGCGACACCAACGGTAGGATCCTGCTCAACAGTGCCGGCAAGTTCAAAGCGAAAGCTGTTGTCAATGGGCAGACCGGTCTTGGGGTCCTTGGCAAGGGCTGCGGGAGGAGAAGCAACATCGGGCATTTCATAGATGCTCTGGTCGTCGGCGTCGGCGCCATTAACAGTACCAATTTCGGGAACAATTGGCTGAATAGGAAGATTCTTGTCGGGGATGGAAGGAGGCGCGTCATCTCGCGCCATGTGAGCAGGCTCTGGCTGAGTTGGTGTAGCAAATGGATCACCGGCCAGAGGGGACTGCGACTTGGAGTGTGTGCGAGGTGGGAGATTGCTGGCGAAAGACTGGTGCTTGCTGCTTATGGGAGAGTAGGGCTCTCCTCTAGGGAATGATCGAATGGAAGAGCCATCGCCACCGCAGTAGAGAGGCACGGTGTGGTAAGGGTCTTGTTGGTTGTGGTATGACTTGGCGAGCGAGTGAATTGACTCCTTGGACTGGTTGAGATCGGGAGGGAGCAGATAGGGCGACGACAGGTTCATGTCCATGGACAATTGGCCAGGACGGTGCTGCTGCTTTTCCCCGCCAGCACCAAACATGGCCGTCATTCGCTTTCCTTTGGAGGGAGCTTCATCCAAGCCGTAATCAAGATCGGTTTCGCGGTATTTGGCGTCTTCCATGTGCATGCGTTTGACGCTTCGTCGGTGAAGTAAGAAGAAGGTGATGGCCGCAGCAACAACGGGAATTCTATATGACGTTAGGGGGGTTGACGGATTGATAGTAACAGCAATCTCTTACACAACACCAAGGGCAATAGCCAAGTTAGTAGCATTGGGACTGATGCCGCGACCACACGTTTCGTTTTTGGAGCAAAGGCCGTCACTATCCGTTCGGCGAGCGATCCGAGACCAGAGACTGGGCATTTCTGTAGCGACTTGGCGTGCCAAGTTCGAATGTGGATGTCTGGGCAGTGAAGCGGCACTAGGGCTGCTGTCTTGTTTATCCATGGCGGAGGGAGCTCGGCACGGCAAGCTATGAGAAGTGTCGGAATAAGGGAAATGGTATCAAAACAAGACTTGAGCATGCATTTCCAGGGTTGGATGAGATGAAGTTGGAAGACGGAATAAACAAGAGACGTTGCGTTCCTCGTGAGGTGGTGAGCGATGGTGGTACCACCAGGAACGATATTTGCGGGAAACGGCGGATAAGTCGAGGGCAGATCTCAACAGCGAAGATGGAGAGAAAATCGAGCGGCGCAATAATCGAAAGAAGAGACTCGTCCAGTGTCGGGAGGCGGGCGGCGAGTATCGAATGGCCTTGCCGTTTGGTGAAAATGAGTGACGCGGTGTATTGAGCTGCACCGAAGCGAGGGGAGTGGGTGCTGTTAAGGAATGACTGTAGCCCGAGTAAACAAACTAAGGTACTAAAAGCGCACAGTTAAACAATCTAAAGAGTGACTGGAAAGAACGTGAGGTTTGGCAACGGGGAAAAAAACAAAAACACGGGACCACGAGCCCGGCCTGGAACGAGATTGCTGGGAAGGAGGGAAAGAAGGGAAAAAAAGGGAAAAAGGGAAAGTAGCAGGATGAGGCTCGCGAAGAGAGAGAGACGAGAGGGGAGCGATGCAAGGAACTGGGGGGCTGGCATGGGTGAGTAGGTACTAAGTGAATGGGCGAATTTGCCAGGGATGTTTTCTTGCTATTTTCTTTGCCAGCAGTGGACCGACAATAACATGGTAAGAGGATAACACAGGGCATGCAGCGCTACATGACAGCTCATTTAGCGGGAGGCAGCGCTGGAATTGTCGGAAATTACAGAGCAAATGGCGCTAAATGCCCTCTACTAACGTACCTTACCTACCTTACCTAGGTATATACCTAGAACATGGCACAGCAATTCATTGCAGTGCTGATGGGGCTTTTTGTGCCTGTAAGCCAAAGCGGGAGGTGCCTGGGGCTAGACTAGAAGCGGAAAAGCACTAGACTTGGGATTACTGGCGCAGGAAAACGGATTGCGCTATCAAACGTGAATTCAGAGCCCAGTGAAAGTCTCACTGCCAGACAGTCAGACAGTGTACCCATTGGCACAGCCAACATGGCCTTGCTGGTAATAAGCGGGGCGAAACAGGACAGACGGGCGCAAGGGGTGGACAGACAGACAGGGCTAGACCAACTCGCAACATTACAGATGTGACCACAAGACGTTTAATTGGCAATGGGCGGCGGCCCCTTCTACTAGCGGCCCTTTTTCAATAAAATTGAAGCTTGTAGGGATCTCGAGACAGGGATTATCCAAATACACCGTGGACCGCCACCGGAATTCCTACTGATAAGTAATACAGAGTAACAGAGACGGACAAGAACCCATAAAAGGACCATGCGAGCCAGTCTTTCATTGTGACGAGAAAATTTTGTTCCTCAAGCCAAGCAAGAAGAAAACTGCCACGTTCTACAAACAGGAACTTGTGTCATGGCGGCACCGACGACGGGAGCATTCACGAGTCTGTCCGCGGCCGAGTCAGGCGAGCCCTTTCAATCTACGACAATGCAGCCTGCCGTTTCGATTGTGTATTCGAATCAGGGCATTGAAGGGGTTGTTTTGTTTATTCATCTGTCCTTTCTTGCGCAATAGCTCGAGACCTGTGCATGGTCAAGTGGTTTCCCATGCCCTGCTGTTATTGTTACTGATAAGTAATACTGGGGGAGCCCTAGCGGAACTGCCCGCATGAAAAGCCAAGCAACTCTCCAGAAACAAATTTGTAGTTGTGCAGAGATGACAGGAGATTGTGGGCGTAACAGCGGAGGCTGTACCATTTTCTCCTTCATTGTTACCGATGCAGGAGAGGTAGCATTGGCAGCCTTTTGATAAATAAAGGGCCAATCTAAGGAAAACGAGGCTGACCTTTTTGGTTTCCCTTTGGTAGTTGACCTCTTGGCGTCTCCGATTCAGGCTCTGCCATTTGTCGACCTCTCATTCTTCTCCCATTATCCTGCCCTGTAAAGTTTATATCCAGTTCCCCCCAGCAGGATTTATTCTAGGCTCCGTTGCACTCGTCCCCTCCCTGATGTAACCTCGACCAAGATTTATCGCCTGACACAACACAACCAGGCACGGCGCAGGTGGCAGGATGCACAAAGAGAGAAGAAATCAGGAACAGGGAAAAAAAGGGGCAGCTCCGATCCATTGATTGGCTGCCAGGGCGGCGGACACGGCCTCCATGCTCATGCAGGTACCAGAGGAGACCGCTCATCATCATCAAAGAAATTAGGTGGGTGTGGGGGGGTTTGGGGGGTGATTCCTGGTTCTGAGATGGATCGAACGACAAGTCATTTCTTTTGAAAGCGAAAGACTGCACTGCCCACTGCCTTGTCGAAACGACTGGTTCGCAGAGCCTCGTGCCAATCGTCAGCCTCCAAAACCAAATGCGAAGGATGCACAGAAGCGAAGAAGAAGTCGTAATAAATAATTTACATCGCACCGTCTAGTACGGGAATCTGAGCCCCGTATCTCATGACACTTTGCCCTGCTTGCCTGCTTGCCTGCCTGCATGGGCCGTTCACAACCAACCGTACCTACTAATTAGGTACGGAGTATCAGTAGGTAGACCAACTCAAAGATTTGTCACAATTATTACTCCGTATATATCGCGGTACAACGACAGACCTCCCATTATTAACTAAATATATATCCGCGCTTTTTTCTTCCAACTTGTTCAATTCATTTTCCCCTTTACCTAATCATGTCTCTATTTGCTTCTTTCACTATCATTAATGTAACCCGAATCTGGATGCTGCACGCTTCTCCCTGCAAAGTATTCGAGCCGTAGCCGTGTCATTTAAGACATTCCTCCTCCCTGCACTATGTTCCAGCCTCTCCCGTCCAATCCCAGCAACCCAGTTCCTCTACCCTTTCCCTCACATGTTCGTCGTTTCTTCCTTTCCATCTTTGCACACAAACTTCATGTACGCATCACCTCAACACTCGCGCGCAAAGCAGGCAAAATATTGCGTCTTTAGCAACCCACTTGCATTCCACTGCGACTTTGTGAGCCTTGTGGTACCTTGGACCTGCAGTCACCCAACGTTCTAGGCCCTCTCCACTGTCACCGTTTGCTGTCTGGAAACCTTTGAAAGAGGAATCCGCCGAGAGGAGGGTTTTTTTTTTTCCTCCCCTGCGCGGCATCTTTTGTTCTTCCTTCGGCCGAATGGCCTGGTTTGGAAAAGAGCCGCTGGTGTGGGCATCTATCTGCCTCCTGATGCGCGTCAGCTCCAGCCGGCGCAGCGCTGCCACGTACAGAATTCTTACAATTGGCAATGACACGTGCTTAAGCAAATGCTCTGCACAAAAAAGGTAGAAAAAGTGTATATTGCACAACTATGCTACTACTCTCTCCGCGTACTCGTCACCTTGTAAAACTCGGGCGCATACTCCAGCAGCCAGCCCTTTTCCGTCTTGCTCGCCTCACGTATGTACGTCTTGTCATTCGTCTCCATGACTTCGTGAAAGACGACCCAATCCGCCTTGCGCCCAAACAGCAGCGAGCTCGGGTGCGCGTGCAGCACTGTGCCTCCCTCGACGTTGCGAAACGTGCCGTCCGCCTGCATCCGCGCCGCGTGCGCAAAGTAGCCCGCCGTCAGGCACCGCAGTATCGCCTCGGCCTTGTCCGCCCTGCTACCGTCATCATGCTGCTGCTGCTGCTGCTGCCGTGATAAAGTCTCGTCGACGACGATGCCAAACCGCTCCAGGTACCGCTTCAGCTGCGCGCGGATGCTCACGGCACGCGTCATGGCCCGAGAATTGAGGTGATTGTCGTGACAAAACTTGGCCTCCTTCTTGCCGCGCGTGACAAATGCCTGGTACGCGTTGAGCAGAGTCAAATGGTCGCCCTCTTCGGCGGCAAATCTGCGCCGCGCGCTCTCCATCTTCTTGCGCTCGCCGTCGTGGTAGAACCACACGCTGCTGCCGAGACTCGTCATGGCGGCAATGGTGAGCATCTCGCTCAAACAGCCAAAGGAAGGCGCCGACAGGAGCGTCTTGGCCATCATGGGCTCGACGGCCAGCTCCGCCATGCGCATGCCCAACGGCCGCGTGAGCTTGGCGTATTCGTCGAGTGCGCCGAGCGAATACAGGAGCTCGAGCGCTTTCCCTACGAGCTGAGATGGGGGTGGTGATAGAAAGTCGAAGCGCACAATGTTGTCGATGCCGAGGGCCTTGAGCTGAAGTATCGTTGGGGCCAGGTTTGATCGCTGAATTTCTGGCGGGTTACTCTGCGCGAGTCCGTTGTAAGCTTGCTCCGTGTAGAGACGAAAGCATTTTCCGGGTTTCGTTCGACCTGCACGCCCTGCACGCTGTGCAGCAGACGCCTTGGAAATGGGCGTTGCGGTGAGGGACTCGATACCCGTCTTCGGATTATATGCACGCAGCTTAACGTAGCCCGAGTCGACGACAAACACAATGCCATCAATGGTCACTGACGCCTCAGCAATGTTTGTGGATAACACTACTTTTCTTGTTCCTTCGGGCGGCTTATCAAAGACGTACATTTGCTCCTCTGTAGTCAGGCCAGCATACAGTGGCATAGGCTGAAGAGGACCATACTTGGCCTCGAGTTCTGGAGCACGTTCCGAAATAGCCTGGACTGCAAAATCAATCTCTTCTCGTCCAGTCATGAACACCAATATATCGCCCTCGCCCTCTTGAGTGTGAATGTCCACAACTGTAGAGATGACCTTTTCGACGTAATTTTCGGCCGGTGCTTCAAGGTACATCAGGTCGATCGGAAACGTCCGACCTTCCAAGCTGACCACTACTCCTACTTTGCTTGCATCGGTTTTGTCGCCGGTAGTTGGCGCTGTTTCGCTGCTCGAGATGAAAAATTGGAGAAACGTCTCCGGGTCCAGCGTCGCGCTGCTGATGATGATGCGCAGCTCCGGGCGCTTCTTGCGAATCTTCTTGAGCAGCCCTAGTAATACGTCTGTGCTGATTGACCTCTCATGAGCTTCATCAACCATGATGACCGAGTATCCGCTCAGAAGCGGGTCGACGAGCGCCTCGCGAATGAGTAGTCCGTCGGTAAGAAACTTGATACGCGTCGACTCGGATGTGACATCCTCGAAGCGTATCGAGTATCCCACCTCTTTACCAACCTCGCAACCAACCTCATCGGCGACGCGCAAGGCAACTGTCGTAGCTGCGACGCGTCTAGGCTATAATTTGACGCGTCAGTCATTATATTTCCGCGACTTCGTATATCAAACGTACCTGCGTCACGCCGATAATTTTGCCATCGTTGCACCACCCTGCCTTTTCTAAGAACTGAGGAATCTGCGTCGTCTTTCCGGATCCTGTTTGACCAATGACTATGGTGACTGGGTATGTCTCAATTGTATAAAGCAGGCTCTCTCTGTGCTTGGCGATGGGCAGTAGGGCTGGAGGCTTGTGCAGTGCTGGTATGAAATTTGCGTCCAAATCGTTTTCAGCCATTGTTCAGGCAGCTGTGAACAGCCTTCAGAGCAGCGCCCGCGCTACCACAATCAATGAACTTTCGAGTACAATGATTCAAGACCAAGTAGCTCCAGCACAATTCCCACTCACCCTCATTATGCTGTAGGCATAGTATGCTAAATACCCAGAAGACAAACATGCGTTGTTCAAATATTTACAAGCGGCTACCCTGGAGCAGATTGGGGAGAAGAGGCTGAAGCTAAGTGTTGTGGCGAATTAGACGTGGCTTGGGCTTGGCCTCGTCAGTGGGGCACGTCATCTCGTTGTGGACAGCTTCGACCCCTCGTCATAAGACCAGACAACGTCTGGATGAAACACAAAACGTCCGATCTTTTGCTTTTGAGCCTCTTACCTTCACGTAAGCTGCATAGAATATTGCAACTGTCAGCTTCACACTCGAAAACTTTATAACCCGATTCCTCACCATAGTCGTGCTGCGCCTCTACCAAGAAACACTAACCAGGGGCTCAATATGGCGTCTAATACTGCAGAGACGGTGAGGGTCAGCAGTACCCAATAATTGTCGAACCTGCCAGTCTAACACTTTATTGCAGGGCAAGCCGTCCAAACCTACCGTAGAGGACATTCCCGAATCACCCACCACAGCGCGTCCCCTCGAGATGGATGACGATGACGTCCAGGACACGAGCATTGTTGCCATCGACGGAACGGCCACACCTACGAAAGCTGGCGCTGCCGCGAAACCAACAGTCAGCGCAGGTCAAACTTCCGTGAGCCAGACTTCTGCCGCCGAAGCTCAAACACAGGCTACTGCGGAATCTGAAGTTGCGCCTGCGAAGCCCCCCCGGCCCGTGTCGGAAGCTCAGAAGAGTGAAACTATACTCAAAGAAGCTTTCCCATCGGTGGACTCGGGCGTGATCAGGGCTGTACTGAGAGCTAGCGGCGGCAAAGTTGAGCCAGCATTTAATGCGTTGCTGGGTGAGTCGCCATTGCTGTAGCTTGAAACGCCAGACAGCTAACCATTATACCGCAGAAATGACTGACCCAGACGCCGCCAAAAACGAACCCGAGGAGCAGCCGCCAGCTCAGCCTCCTCGCCCTCACGGACAGGCTCCCATCTCGCAGGTCGAGGCTGACGAGCTTTATGCGCGTCAGCTAGCTGAGCACTACGACAACGTCGGCGCATATGAGGCCCGCACCTCGAGTCTGAATCGCAACGGCCGATCGCGCAACCCTGAGGAAGACGACCGCGAGCACAGCTTTCTAGACGACGATCTTCCCGTCATTCGGGAGAATCTACGCAAGGGGTTCATCGACACGCAAACAAAGGTCAATGGATGGATTGCCGGGATAAGAAAGAAGCTGGAAGACAGCTTCGACGAGACTGAAGAGAGGACACAGAGCGAAGGCCAGCCTTTTCGACGCCAAGGCGAGGCCAGTCGTCGCAGCGGCGACTACGATCGCTATGACGCAGACCCGCAGGTTCTCAGTGACGACTTTGCTGGCATGCGATTTTCATCAGATGGCCGTGAGTACATCTACAATCTGTGCAATATGAAAGTCATTAACGTATTGCAGACCCCACCAACCACCCGCTATCAAACCAGGGTCTGCATCGACCTCCTCCGCCGTCAAAATCACCTAGACCTGATGGTCGAAGAGTCGGGTTCAAGGAAGGTCACGAGGAGATTAACATGTACGACTCGTCACCCAAAGTGCCACCCAAGGACAACGCGGCGGCGGCCAGCAAGGCTAGCAAGTGGCAGCCCTTGTCAAGTGTCGAGCCCGAGCCGATCACCGACAATGATCCTTTCAGTCTGGGTGACAGCGAGGACGAGAAGGAGACCAAAGAGTCCAAGCCCAAAGATACCAAGGATGACAAGGATAACAGTGCGGTTAAGGCCGACCATTCGGCGCAGCGCTTGAAGAAGGCAACCGCTGAGGCCATGGCGGATAGCCTAGGGGAGCCAACCAAGGCAGAAGTGACGGCTAACAAGAAGAATTGAGTAGTATTAGGATGATATTGATAGGAAGTGGGCGACATGGCGGCGGCCACGTTTTGTATACTTTAATAATAGCCGTGTAAGTTGTCAACAGATTGATCGACGAGCCGTTCTTTTCCCTAAGCACCAATAAAAAGCTATCAAATTAACTTCATATGCCATCTTGTGCTCATTTTGAGTTGGTGCTTGCATGCCGTAGTGGATGAAGCCATTAGTTATGCCTTAGTAGCTGACCGCGGAAGCGCGGTGGGACGCGGGGCAGTTGGACAGGATTGGTATTGTGTGACGTCGCACGGTACGAGAATCAAGTAATGGGCACATTAATTGGCTGCATCAGAAGCCCCAACAGGCTGAGTGAGTACGAGGCTGGTGATGGCGCTGCGCGCACAGATGGACAGCTTGTTAAGAGAACGCGAGACGGTGCATAGAGAGAATATTACGTTGAGTGGTTCCTGGCTAGTATAACTTCGACGGGGCAAGCCGCGACTTTAGAAAAAAAAAGAATACACAGCGGTGCCTTGGAAAGTCGACCTGTCGAGCGCCCAGTCGCCTGTTGCATGACCACGAGGTCTCACCGGGCGCGTCTATTGGTCGCAGATGACAACGCCAGATGGAGGGCTGCCGATCGAAAAAGATGTCGAGTGGTTCTCTAACAGTTTAACAGTTTCTTCTTGGTTCGACTCTGATATGCGGTTAAATCTCGGTCATCAATTCCGGACCCTTCACTAGCACATTAGCTCCCCTCCAAATCCACCACCAAATGCTGCCCCCCATGTTCTCTTGGAAGTGGGATGAGATCCGCAACTACACATACTATGTTACGCCCAGTACACTCGACTTGACACCGTCCTACGCAGCCAAAGCAAACCGGTCAGAAACATCTCGACCCTTGCCAAGCAGGCCAGCTTCGGTTCCACGGAAGCCCAATTCTAAACAGCCTGGGACCCAATTGGGAGCCGTTCTCACCGTGTGCCGCCTGCCAGCCACAGTTTCCTCCGCCCTTTGCTTCCTCTCCGGCTGCTCTCTTCACCTCTCACGGCTATGATGCCCTAGTCAGAAACCCCAGGGCCCCGTCAAAACCGAAGCCCGTCTTCATTTCCCCTCACCATTTTACTGGTCATCTTCTCCTGCCTCTACAGAGAAAGAGAAGAAGCCGACTCGGCATTGAGCTTTGCCCTGGCCTTGGCTCGTTTGACACATCAGAGCAAAGCGAGTTAAGCCCTGCAGCAACACATGGCAGCTGCTGCTGGCATCTACGAGCACCATTACCCTATTGCCTGCAGTACCATCACTTCCAAACAGAGCTTCACGGCTAGGCACTGTACTTCATATACCTAGGTCCTTGCTCTATCACAGCGAATCCCACCTGCCAAGGTACTGGCTTCAAACCCCTCCAGCCAACCTGCGCATTGAGCCTTGCTGCAGCCAACCTTGCAGACAATCACAAGGCACTCAGCGCAAGCCACCTGACCTGACGCTCAAGGCTACCATCCAGTCTGAAGTCTCGACCAGCTAATAGCTGCTGCTGCTGCATATTGCCTCTCAGTTCACGGCCACATCACCGCCCTACCCCGGTATCTTCAGGTCCTCCGGCGCAACGGTACCCGAACGCACGCTTTCCCTCCCGCAGCTAGTCAGGCGCCCACACAGACTTTGCTTGCGCTCGCGCTACTTTCAGTTCTTCGCGTACGTCTTGCAGCTGTGCAGCTTCCCCGGGTGCCGCCACTCACACGCAACTTGCGTCAGCTCTCGCCATCCCGGCCCATCAGCTGCGTCGCCCCCCGTAGCTCCGGAGCCACAGAGCCAAGTTTTTGCTCATTCAAGTTCAGCTTCACGACGTTACTTGCTTGTAGACGCTACTCTTCGGCGACAACCACTTTGCGCTTTTGGCCTCTACCGGGACACCCCCAACCAACAACCCTACTCGACCCCTCCTGCCATGAGAGGCTCTTCCTTGCGCTAAGTCTCGTTTCTCTTGCCGCTCTCGATATACTGGATACGCCACCTGTTCCCTCCGCGCATTCCTACACTTCCCCTCTGGCCTCTCTGCGGCTGCAAGGGGTATAATCACCACTGTCGTCTCTCTGCGCGCGCGAGTACAGGCTTCCAGATCCATCATGTAAGCTTGCCTAACCCATGTCCCTGGTACATCGGGCCACAGATCCTAGTATCTGCACCTCGCTTCAGCGTCTCGCCGTTGGCGCGGAGCCATCGCGATTTCGACTGCTTACATTTGTGATACAGGAAGTTCGGGAAGCAAATTCAGAAGCGCCAGCTCGAGGTCCCCGAATATGCAGCCAGCTTTGTAAATTACAAGGCCTTGAAAAAGGTGGGCACGAAACATTGATTCGCTCTGCGGTGGCGTCGGGGACACTAGTGACACAATGGCTCGATCAACTTTCTGGAGCATCATTGTGCTGGTGCTTGACGCTGCTACAGACATACTCGCTTCCAGCTGGGCAACTGCTAACGTGCTACCTACGCAGCTGATCAAGAAGCTTTCGGCTACCCCTACACTAAGCGCCCAGCACGATGGTCAACGGACAGGTGCCCTCGCCGACTCGCAGGCCGCCCTCCAGGCAAACAAAGCCACATTCTTCTTTCAATTAGTGCGTATTTCGCGAATATGCGTGACTTCTTCTAACCGTTGGTAGGAACGAGAGCTCGACAAAGTCAACGCCTTTTACCTGCAAAAAGAGGCAGAGGTAAGCTTGGACATGCAGTCCGCATGGCACAGTCTAACGTCTCGCAGCTGAAAATCCGCCTCAAAACCCTTCTCGACAAGAAAAAGGTCATCCAATCTCGTCAAGGCATTTCGAGGCGTTCATCAAAATTCACAACGCTGGAAGAGGGCTTTCAACAATTCGCCACCGACCTCAGCAAACTCCAACAGTTTGTCGAAATCAACGGCACCGCCTTTTCCAAAATACTCAAGAAATGGGACAAGACCTCAAAATCGAAAACAAAGGAGCTGTATTTGTCAAGAGCTGTTGAAGTCCAACCCTTCTTCAATGCTACCGTAATCAGCGAGCTATCAGATCAGGCTACGACAAGTTTACAAGAACTTGGTGCCTGGTCAGATGGCATCCAAGTCAATTTTCAGAGCTCTGGTCATGTCGTCACAAGCCAGCATTTCATGGGAACTGATGAAGGCGATGCTGACACACTTCTTCTCGAGACTGTTATTACCAGCAATTCTGACACTTTAAAGGAGCTTCTGACCAAGATGCAGTCTGCATCCAGCGCCGAGGCTGGTGACAATCTTTTGATGGACAGGGTGACTCGCACGTTCCTTGCTGCCATCAACGAGGCGCCTCGAGTTTCTCTCCAAATACTTCTCGACACGGGCCTCGTTGATCTGCATTCGTACGACGACATCAATGAACGAAATTGCCTTCATCAGGCCACCATTTACGGCAAGGAGTACGTGCTTGAATGGGGTCTGAAGGCTGGTGTCCCTGTTGACCGTACTGATGTATATGGCCGTGTCCCTGCACACTATGCCAGTTTGCACGGACGACTTGGCATGCTGGAGGCTCTTCTTGATGGTACGTGGACATTATTACCATGCCCGCATCAAACTAACGAGGTGCAGCAAATACCAAGACGATTGACCTGATTGACCACGACAATTTTACACCCCTCATCCACTCCATTATTCACGGCCATCTCGATTGCGTCAAGCTATTACTCGCCAAGTCCGCTCGTATTGACCCCGTTTCCGAGGCCGACCATGTTCCTCTGAATCTTGCTTGCGAGCACGGCTCCGGGCCAGTTGTTGAGCTGCTTCTTCAGCATGGTGCAAAGATCCTCCCAGACGCAGAAGGACTGTATCCTCAACACTTGGTCGCTCGCTCAGGTCAATCTCCTGATCTCTTGTTACTGCTCAAGCAATTTGGGGCGGATCTGGATCAGATCGACAAGCTCTATGGGTGGACTCCTCTCGTACATGCTGCCAGCGAGGGCAGCGTTGAGTGCCTCCAGGCACTCCTCAAGATCGGCGCCGATGCTAGCATCTTGGATGAGAAGGACCTCCCGGCCATGTACTACGCCGCTTGGGAGGGCCATCTGGCCTGCATGAAGCTTCTTAGACCCTTTAACAATCGACCTCGGGCCAGTCCTTTGGTTGCGCAACCGTTACTAGAGCCCATGGGCAGCAGTAGTGCTCCTCAGCCTATGACATTAGATCCCGACGCAATCCCTATTCTGGAGCTGCCGCCGCCGATAATTCCACTGCGACGATATGGACACAATTTCCTTGACACCAAAACTGTCGTCCAAATCAGCTTCGATGATGCTAGCGAACAGCCTCTCGTCTTCTTTCAAGATGGAAAATACCCCGCCGCTCGACTTACCATTTCGTCTAAAAATTCCGAACTTATTCCGCAAAACATCATCTTACCCATCCAGGAGGACACTCGTATTGCCTCGTTCCAGGTCGACAACCTCGATACATTCTCTCTCGATTTTGATGTCTTTCCGACCTACGGTGCCAAAATTATTGCCAAAACGGTTGCGCTGTCCAGCACATTCAAGAATCCGCAAGGCAGCACGGCCTGTTGTCTGCCTCTGTTTGATCCACGTCTTCGCGCGATTGGTCAGATTAGCTTCAATACGCAGGTCATCAAACCGTTTAAAGGACAGCCTCTCGAAATTACGGACTTTGAGACTTACTGGAAAGCAACTAGCCAATTCAATCAGCCCACCAACGCTGTCGTCACTGGCTCGAGCCTTTCTGGCGACTTTGTTCGACTGTGTGTTCAATACACAAGTGACGGAGTTCCGGTGATCTGGCCGCAGTGGACCATTGACTGTGGCTGGTCCGACATTGCGGTCTGTCGCTTGAGCCTGAGCCAGTTTCAAACTATTACTGCGCGAAGTGCAAGCCGCTCTGACCTATCCACTTTGGCCGACAAAAAGGGTGAGAATATTGCCGAGATTTACCACGTGTTGGCAACAGCTGGTGTTACGCTCAAGGAAGCGCTTGTCATCTTGCCACATAATGTCCACGCCAACCTCCAGATTCTTTACCCGACAGCCGACGAAGAACAGGCCCTGGCACTCGGTCCCGTTTTGGAAGTCAACGAGTATGTCGATGCCATTTTGACTGTCGTATTCGATCACGCGAGAGCCCAGCGTGCGCAATCGCACTCATCGCAGGTGCTGCGCTCCATTGTCTTCAGCAGTTACAATGCTAGCCTCTGCACGACGCTCAACTGGAAGCAGCCCAACTTTCCTGTTTTCCTGTGCAACGATCTTGGTAGAGAGGAGGTCGAGTCAGCGTCCACTATGGCAAATGCCCACGGACGACGCAGCACGTCGATCAAGGAGGCAGTCAGAATTGCCCAGAATAACAACTTTATGGGTCTAATATGCTACTCGCGACTTTTGGTATGTCCATCTCGAATCAGAAGGAGTATCTCGGCTAACAATAACAAGGACTCGGTCCCTGCGCTTGTAGATGCTGTCAAGTCGCACGGCCTGGCGCTCGTCATGGACAAATCGACCGACTCGCCCGACACGAGCCCGCTAGCGGATCCTTTCCCGCGACCACCTAAAGGCGTAGACGGTGTTTTGAAGAATCACGGCATATTGCGCTTCACCGACTCGATAGACATGTAGTAGATGGTCTTGGCGTCGGACGGGCTTTTTCCCTTGATGTCTCCTTTGTATCCGGCGTGATTGGGATTCTTTTGGTCTTTTCTGAGTCTTTGACAAAAGTTGCCAATTGAAAAAGAAAGATAGCACCTACGGAATGAATTGTAGAGAGGCGGCGCATACTCGGGCGTTTTATGCCAGTGAACGAGAACACGCATGAGATTATAATTGACTGTTAGAAATACATTAATTCATGCTCGTTATACATTATAAGACTCCGTATCTGTGATATTTCTTTTTATACGCCCTTGTAATTATATCGCAGCGCAGACAGCTCCTTTTCCGGATCGACACCTGCCATGACGACCTTGGCCAGCAGCACCACCACATACACGCCCGCGGGCAGATTACACAGGATGGGCCACGCCAGCGGCCCGCTCCCGCTCCCGCCGCCGCCAAAGCGGCTCGCCTTGTAGGCGACTGCGGCGCCCCAAAATGCGAGCAGCGCGGCCAGTAGCACATTCAACCACGGCAGCGTCCTGTCCAAGGGCCCGCGCGCGCCGGCCGCGCCGCCGGTGCCGGTCCAGGCATCGAGGGGTCCGAGGCCAGTCACCGTGGGCGGCAGCCGCCGGGCAAGGTAGGCGGTGGCGAGCAGCGACGAGAGAGCGAGGAGGGATGGGAGGGAGGGCAGCGCGGCGAGGTAAGGAATAGTGGCGAGGAGAGGGATGAGCAGCAGGAGGAGGGCGAGAGACGCGTTTTGGGAGCGGTTCCGGGCAGAGAGACGCTGAATATAGGATTCTTGCTCTAGAATGAGAGTGAGTTAGTGAGATGGAACGAAAGAAGGATGGGAAAAAAAAGGGGGGGGGGGGGGTTTTGAGGGGGATGGCGCACCTTGTTCGTCCATGGCCGAGGGCGCAGAGTCAGAGTCGGACCCAGTGGCGTCGTCGTCGTCGGTAGGATAGCGGAATGTGCGCCGCAGACGGGCGGCTGTGCTGCGCGTGGCCATGATATTGAGAGAAATCGGGTGAGAGGTTTAATGAGATGAGAGGGTTGAAGTTGGGATGGATATGTGGCATGTCTTGCTTGGGCTGCGATGCGATTGCGGGTAGACGTTGGTTTAAATGTGGGGAGCTGGCGATGATGGGCAGGCCAGGCAATCTGCCAGCACAACGAGTCGTCTGAAAAATTTGTATGAGGGGTCGATCAAGTGGGATTTAACTTCTCGTTTTTCTGGAGTAAGATGCACGCAAAAAAAAAAAAAAAAAAAGAAAAAGAAAAAGAAACATGGCAGTTCTTGTTCTGGACTTGGAGTCTGGCTTTTATGGCTGGTACATGTCTAAGTCGGACTTGTAGTGGCACGCTTTAACTTAAACGACAACAAAAAGTTGGCTGTGATGATGTACCAACTTTGGCTTTTCGTATGTCTGACTGATATTTGAAAATCGTAATAAACTAATCTGTGATGGCCTAAGCTCAATGCCACTCTTTACTAGGTGCATATGCAGGCCGCGGTGTTATAGTTGTAGGAGCAGTAGCCGCTGTTGGTTTTGCACTGTGTAAGTTGCGGGTTAGCCACAAGATCATCTTTGCATTATTCAACATGAAAAAAAAAAGGTCTTACAGCAGTCCAAGTGCAATTGCACTTTCCTTTGCCGGTGAGCGCGCCATCTGTCCATTTGAAATAGCATTCATGATTGTCGCGATTACACGTCTGAAACAAAAGGCAGTTAGTAAAGAAAGACTTGATCAAGGAGAGAATAGACCAAGGAAAATATGGCAAGAGACATCTTTTGGTAAAGGGTTAAAAAAAAAAAAGAACTTACTCCGGGATAACTGAGGCGAGCTTCCAATCTGGCTTTGGGCTCCGGCTCTCTCTCGACAAGCTGGTGAGTGTCTTCTATCGATTGGGGTGCTGCGAGAGCAGCGGACGAGAAGCCGAAGAAGAGGGTGGAAAAGATGGTAAACTTCATTTTTGCTTTGACAGTTATCAAACTTGTTTGATGGTTGAGAGTATTGGTCGGTCGGGGTGGCAGGAGGGCCTTTGTGCCTTTTAGCCTTTTAATACGTTTTTTTTTATCATGTCGCTCAGGGATACTCGCTCAGGTTAAACGGGATCCAGCAGAGGAAAAAGTGTCGGATCTTTTTTGGAACAGTGAATTGACTCTCTTTGTAGAACTTGACTTGTTACTTGTGATTGTGATTTGAGATCGGCGTGCTAAGCGCGCCCGCTGGAGAAGGCAAAAAGCAAACTCCAACCACTCCAGACGGCGCGAGATGAAAACAAGGTTCATTAATGGATTTGGGTATTTTCGGGTCATTTCCTTATTTGTCTGACGGCGAGCGCTCGATTGAGTCGACGTCCTCGTCGACGTCAGGCGCAGGACTAGGGATGAACCGGATACATGCAAGCACAAACAAACGATTCATCGAGGTGAAAACATGCACATTGAATAATCCCGTAGTTTCGGAACTATTCTGACAGTAATTTTATTCAATAGAATTATGCTTTTTTTGTACACTGTAGACTGATGCCGAATCACACCAGTAGAGTCCTGCAACATGCTCCTCACTGCGAATCCATCTCGTCAACAGCAAAAGAAGTATTCATTGGCCATGTATTTCTGCACGAGCTCGCAAAAAAAGAAAACATCCTTCTCAGACTCGGCTTCTACTCCAGCTTCTTGAGCCATAAGACCCACCGTTAGAAGCCCGGCCGTCTTGAGGTTGCACGACAGGTTCGTTCAAGTGCGGAGGAGGGACTTCAGCCCGCTCTTCCCCAGACGTGCCCTTCCCCAGACGTGCCAAGCGGGTTCTTGACTCTCAGTGTGTGACTAAAAAAGAGACTTTTAGGGTATAACTATTAGAAGAGAACCAGGGCAATATATCGACTCTGTCGTTGCAGAACCCAACCAAGGTGACCAAAGGTCCAAGCCCAACTTGGTCGACGAAACCTCCGAGTCTGGGTTAATTCTTCACTGAGCCCGTAGATTGCTCGACAGCAGCACACGTTGTCTGTCAGGGGCATATTTTAATTCATAAGAAACAGTGGCTGGCAAAAGGGTTATTTGTTTTTTTGAGGATATATGCAGAAATGTAAGTGAGGCGGCCTGTCAAGTGCGGACCCCCCCTCGCTCGTTCTACTCAATTCGGCGTCCGAGTCTTTGCAATTGTCTCGGCGACTAAAGAGGGCAAAAAAGTGTCTCAAAACTCGAAGCAAACACAAGCAAGACCAAGACGCAAGCACGGTAGAGAAAACTGATCACTGTTACTCCAAATATCAGCCACCCAAAATGTAATGTGGCACAAAGTGGCGGGCTCAGTTGAGCGGCAACCATGGCAGGCTTGGGATGATACTCCCGTGTGACAAAGCTCGGATACTCACAACACCAGAGCAGGAAAGGTGGTAGGTTCAGATGGAGGTCAACACGGCAGTCTTAGATGGACGGCGACTGGGATGAAGCTCAGATATTTACGAAAATAGAGCACGATCAGATACACGGCAGGCAACTGCTCTTTGAGCTGACGACCTCTGAGTATCGGACGCTAGCATAAAAGGAACCTGCGCGCATCTCGAAAGATCGACCTTTAGAGCAACAATCACAAGTGACAAGTCAAGTTCTACAACAGAACAAAGAGCTACTCTTTTTTTTTTTTTTACAAGCGTATTCGCGTCATACTCAAAAATCCCGCTTTCGTTCATCTTCTTCGTCGTTGCCGCAGCGCTCCCTTGGATTGGTGGAGCCTTGAAAGAAACAGAGCCACAGACTGAAGAGATCTAACGGGCTGGCTGAGCTGAGAGCCGTTCCTGGCCAAAAAAAAAAAAAAAAACAAAAAAAAAGAAAAAGATATCACTGCTAGCCTCCAATCAACCAACATGGGCCAAAAATGCTAATGTCTCATGGAAGGGCGCAGGGAAAAAAAAATGTCTCAGAACCTCAAAGCAATCCAAACAAAGCAACAACAAGGCTGAGATGATCGGGCAACTTGCGTTTTTGGATGAGGGGGGATGTTTGAGTCGTTGATCAATGTGTATAAAAAGCCCCTACGCGCACTTGTATAATTAAAGTCATAAAGGAAGAAGGAGTATCAATTTACGATAAACACGACAATATCAGAAATCAAACTTTTTTAGAAGCCATTATATCCCCTTCAAAATGAAGCTCTCATCAGCCGTTTTCTTCTTTACTGCAATTGTCCCATGGGCTAGTGCCCAGTCCGGCTGTGTTAACCAGTGAGTAACAACAGAAAGAAGAAAGAGACCAAGATGGGAACATGTCCAGGTCTGACGACTTGTTTTTAGGGCCAGCCCGCGTCTGGGAATTGGCAATTACTGCTGGTGCAGCTCCAACCGTAAGTTGTTGAAAACTCTTTTGGCCGTCATGGTACATACTTGACAAAACTTGCTAAACTGCTACAAGGCAAATGCTATTCTAGCGGCGTCAAGGATGGCCAGCTGGTCTGCGAACCAGTCGGTCGTCGCATTCCATGCCCATAAGCGGTATAGTTTTGACGGAGAGACTATTGTAGATGAATCGGACCATTTTTCTATGTTGTCTTTAGCTAAAGATTTACCTTGCTTGAAAGTATTTTTGAAAAAAAAAAAAAACAATTTATCGTGTGTGCATGGGCGAAGGCGTGAATAAACCGAGCTGCTACCTCGCCGAGGTTGTGGCTTAATGGTGATGTGATGGTCGAAGCGCAACTTCTTTTCTCAAAACCATTCTATACCTCAAGAATACGTTGTGTGGACTGAAATATATTGTAAGGCCTAGGTAGTTCTCGTCGCTAAAGTAAAAATTTTGACAAAAAGTCCACCGCCAAAAAAAATTTAGTATTCGATCAAGCTGATGAAGCGCCAAATGATTTCTTGAATAATAGTTGGGCATGAAACTCCCCATGCCAAAAGTGCGGCGGCCCTGGATTAAAGCCGATTGGCTGCCTGAATTGTCACGAAGTGTGTTGGTTCCGCCTGTTCTAATGTAGCTTTGTTTCTCAACCATGGACGCTCTAGCTCAGAAGAAATAAAAAAAGAGAAAAAAAAAAAGAGAGGTTAACAATTGATATCGTCAAGGGTATGGAGAAGAGGTCAAGACCATTGACGGGCTCCTATTTCATGCTACAGGCATGACTAGAACACAGACGCGCCACCTGCTACGACTGCTTGTCGGGCAGTTAATTGGTCGGCAAGAATCGTGAGTGCTGGCCCAAATTGGTTATTTATACTTGTACATTCACCACAATGTAATTCTGCATCATGCTTTTTGGCTTGGCGACTTGATGACTTATATCCCCCCCCCAAAAAAAGGCCTCGCTCGCTGCATTTGATGCATTCATGTGCCAACTTGGGCCAATAAAAAGATTGGAGAAGTACTCGGTCGCAATCTTCCTTTCAAGAACTGTTTTTACAGTTTCAATAATTACATGGCGCCAATCAATACGACCCTTCTCGATCAAAAACTCCTCGGGCCATCACTGCGCATCTCGTGCCTGCTTCACTTTGTGAAGCCTGATGTAATCCTGAGCGTCAACTTGTCCGTAAAAAAGAAATCACCCATTACTCTGATCGAAACCCCTTTTGACCATCTGTGCCTCTGCCGCTCATCTTTTGCATGCCGCTCACCATTTCCTCCTTTGTGTTGCCCAGCTCCCTTTTGGCGGCGTCCTTTGCCTTTTCGCCCGCGTAAATGGCCTTGCCGGCCACCTTTTGCGACTCCTTGGGCTGCGTCAGGTAGGCGTACACGGCAATAGCAACGAGGCCGATGCCGGCATATAGAGGACTGCCCCGTTCCCCCGTCAGTAATTTTTCATCATTTGTTTGCGCCAAACCAAAACGAAACACCCCCCCCCCCCCGAATGGGCACATTTTGCTTACGCGTTTCGCTTGAAAGCCTCGGGGCCGGCGGGCTTCTGAGGTGGCGGCTCCTGGCCGCCTGGGCCGCCGAGGTCTTCCTGTTTGCTGAGTTGTCGAGTCTGTTGTCGGACGGCGCAGACGCGCGGCGCGAGACGGGGGACGCTGCTGCGGAGTAGCTGGCGAGCTGCTGTGGGTGTGTTCATTTTTTGCAAAGCTTCGTGATGAATAGGGTAAAATGATGCGGGAGTCGATGTGTGGTTTGATTATTCTGGGATAGTTTCTCAAAAGGCGGTGCTGCTGTTGAGCTGGTGGCTGCTTCTTTATAATGCTGCGAGGCTATTGCAGTTTATGATGCAATCATTACGCTCTCGATCCATGAGGCGTGCTACCACCGGTGCAGCCCACAACGGTGACAGCTCTAGCAACTAGGTACTTTCTAGAGAAATAGCAAATGACGACTAATTGAATGGGATTCGTTAGATGATGAATTCCCGACATGGAAAATACCCATCTCCCCAAGCTCCTCAATGATGCTTTTGGGTGAACATGCAGCCACGACGGCCATCCATCACGATGACATCATGGCACAAAAGGACATTGATATGCTGAATGTCCATCTCATTGTTTCCGAATATTATATATTTCAGGTATCCAATCAAATTGCGAACTACCTGGCATTTATAAGGCACTATACAAGGTCCATGATAGACGATGCGTATTCTGGGTGGTGGAATTCGCCGTCTGGCGAACCCGGGAAAGCTGCACGCCATTGTTCCGTTGGCTGCAGCTAAACCTTTCGGGGTAAATCTAAGTCTAGCCGGAAAAGATAAACGTTGACTGCATATGATATTCATGTCGCTGATGATGAGCTACCGACGAATGGTGATTTCCAGCTTCTTGTGCTGAGAGCACCGCCTGCTCATTCATCAACACATCCCGGCGCACATGGCAAAGTATGGAGCGCATAATAATCCACAAATGAACCAGAAATATGCATTCGCCTGTCTGGCATGGCTCGTATTCTTCCAGATTCTTCCTCCGCTACCCGCCCTCTTTGCCGTCATGGCTCGAATGCAGCCGCAAGTACAAACATCTTCACTTTGCTTCACTGCTCTTTTCCAGTGGGGATGCTGCTCTCTTCTTGGTTCTAGCATGTGGGCCAATGTCGGGCAGTAGAGGATGCTGCAGAGTGACACCCTTTTCCCAGGCAACAATCTTGAAGATCATCTCCATCAGCGCCCGGCTGCGCGATTCGCACAGCCCAATTTCCGATGTGGTAGAGTACCAGAGCCTAGAGGCAGTGTCTTCCATTCTCCTCCCCGAGAGCAACATGTGGCGTGGAAAGGTGAAGGAGTGGCGCATCTGAGTGACGGGGCATTGCTCAGAGAATGTAATGTTTTCGGGCTCAGAGTCTGACCGCATCATGCGAGAGCAGTCACCCTTGAGACTGCTAACATACAGAGATTAGACTTGGCGTTTTGAAGGGAATTCTTTTAGAAGATCAGTCGTTGGATCATTAATTTCACCGACTCAAGTACGTCTGCTTACCGGTGCTTTCTGATCTCCTAGCCGCGCTCTTGATTACAAAGATGAGAGATGAAACAGACTCGGCAGTAATGTAGCCTGTGGCTCAGATGGAAAATTTTGCAGATTGAGTGAAGAAAGTGAAAAAAGGCTGGCAGAGCACAATTCTTCCAACAAACGGACGGCAAGACCGCAACGCCGTTTGTAAATTAGTAAAGTATCGCTGCGCAGCTGTCACATAAGAGACACAAACGAAGACTTGAGGGGATTTTTTTTGTCAATCTTTGTACAATATTATGCATAATTATTTTTATATAGTGCAATAATGTACAGTTCGTCATTCATGTATATTTATAACGCGCCCGCCCTCACCTACACGCGCACATAGACGCGGTGCGCCGTCACACCATTCACCGTAGACGTAACCTTCAACTCCTTGTCGCCAAACTCGCGCACAATCGTGACGTCCTTGCCGTCGCCGGGCTTCTGGGTCTGAGTCCAAGTGTTGCTGTCGTCGGCGGTGACGCGGCTGGTGACGGAGACGCCGTCCTGGCGATCCTCGGCAAAGTCCTCGCCGAGGACAAAGGACACCTGCGAGGTGCTGAGCGCCGACGAGGTGACCATGGTCCAGCGGTCGCCGTCGCGGGAAATGGTGATTTCGGGGCTGGTTGACTGGGCGAGCTTGCGCTTGATGTAGCCAAGGCCTGTTGTTGGGTGGTGTTGGTGTCAGCGGATGGGACGGGATGTGGAAGCAAGGGGCCATACCAATCTCGGCGAGGAAAGCGTCAAAGTTTTCCGTCTTGGAGAGACGGTACTTGCCAATAATAACGTCTTGCATTTTTGAAAAGTTGTTGCGTTTGTTGTCGAGATGGTTGGAAGAATTAGGTTAGATAGAGGCTTGCGCGTTGGGACTGGCTGGCTTCTTTCCAACCCCAAGACATTGTCGAGTCTTTTATAGCTCATCCATCGATTTTACCAATTTTGCATTTCACATGCCATTCACATGTGGGCGCCGCCAATAAAGCAAAGGGGGTCCCTCTTTGCGCTGAGCAGTCTCGGCGTCGACGCAACTCGGAGTGGCGTCCGGAACGGGGCTCAAGACGGGGTTCCCCAACGGCGCAGTTGCCCGAATTGGGACAATGGTGGTCCCACGGCGCCCCATGGGGCGGGCTCTCTCCAAGCACTTGCCGCGTAAATTGGCAGCTGCAGGTTCATGAAACGGCGGGGGAGAGCGCTGATTGACAAGGTTGATCAGTGGAGGGCCGGTATGTTGGCTCCGAGGGCTGTGTGTGTATGAGATGTGCGGACGAGCATGTGCCTGGCCGGCTGTCGCCGTGTTCGTGTAGCGGATGCAGCGGGGATGAGATGTCGACGTCGAAACCAACTAGGCCAAATCTGTAACTTTCGCAAAAATGGGAAAACAATGATGCGCATAATAATCAAGATGTTGTCCAGAAGTCTTTATTTGCTCTCTTCTACGCAACTTGATCCTTTCCCACCAACCGAGCGCACGCCGTTCGTCCCGCTCGCTCGTGCCCAATGCGAATGCGTCCCCAAAAGCTCCAATCTGCCCTGTTGCATTTATTTCTTCCATCCATTTATACCGATTTTCTCTTCTTGACCTCTGGGTAAGGCCCAAGCTTGGGAAGCACCGGATGCTCCAAAGTGTCGCCCTTTTCCCACTTGATAACCTTGTAAATCACCTCCCTCAGGGCGCGGCTGCGCTCTTCGCTCATCCTTCTCGGCCAGGAATAGCGAATATTCTTGGCGATTTCCTCTAGCTTTTCGGAAGAGAGGACGTCGTCGTGGTCGAGCGTGAAGCTGTGTTGCTTTGAGCTGACGGGGCAGACGTGGTAAAAGGTAACTGTAGCCTCTTTGGGCTCCAGAGTGGATTCGGACATGATGCGCAGGGCGGGCCGATCTGAAGAAAAGTTGCCTGGTTTTGTATTTTTCTGACGATGACGCTAGGATGAGCAAGGGCTCTTTTAAAACGCGACAGTCGGTTGAGGCGGGCAGTGATGTGAGGTTTAATGCACAGAGGCGATGAAGGGATTCAAGTGCGAATTCGAAAATCCTGCCCACTAGTTTCTGTGAAGATGCATGGCCTTTTCAAGGGCGGGAAATGCATTCACTGCATTTCGCGCACTGGCAAACGGCAAAGAAGTAAGTGTCAGCCGTTTGCTCAACGTTGTTGACATCTTCAGCCGTTTGCTCAACTTTGTCGACAATCTTCAGCCGGTTGCTCAACTTTGTCGACAATCTTCGTTGACAGCCTGTCATTTATAATGCAAATTGGGCAGCAAATTATCCCCCCCTTGGTTTCCTCATTCAAACACATTTTCTGAAAGGGCTCGGTCTAAATGAAGCGACAAGTTGTTCCGCCAATGAATTCATTTGCCCCAAGTTCATTCGCCGAAGATTGCTGAATTGGGGACCTGACAAGGCCATTGCCGGCGGCATACCCCCGCCTAAAGCGGCCACTAAATACCCATCGAGACCAAGTGGTGCTTTGCGGCAAACGGGTGTTTTCTGGCAGCGTCTTGTTTATTTATACCTGCCTACCCAAGTATCCAGAGTACGTCGACACTACCCATAAAACATTGAGTAGTATTCTGTAACGTGCTTCAAACTACAATCATGACAATTTGAATTTGATATACCTACATCATTCAACAGATGGATGCTGGTGACGTGACTGACGTCCCTCTTCTGTGGCAGTAGACCCCCCACAATGCCCGGCTATCCAAGCAAACAAAGCTCCCGCCAAGTCCCCCCACGCAAAACCCGAGACAGTGGGGAGCTTTTTTTTTGGAAACAAGAGCAAGTTCCAGTGACCCCAAGCACCTGCAGCACCTGCGGCAGCTGCTGAAGCTCTGACGCAGCCAAGCACCCCAACTAAACCGACATCTGCCCCGCCATTCTCATCCCCATTCCATCACCACACCACAACCCCTCCCCCCATACCCTTTCAATTGCCGACGCAAATGTTCTAAACCATCGGCCATCTTTCCGTCGCATGCACTTGCTCGTTCGCTCCCATTACCATCTCTATATCTCTACATTTTCCCCATCTCCTCCATCCCAGCCTCTCTCTTCTTACCTTTCTCACATCCTCCCCAACCACCACCGCCGCCATCATGAAGCTCCTCTACCCCACGTCCATCAAGATGGACCTCGCCGCCGCCCTCCACGACCAGCCCTCCGTCCAGCTCGTCGCCTACGACCCCGCCGCCCTCATCCCCGACGCGCACCTTGACGCCGTCGTCCTCGTCGCCTGGGCAAACACCGCCGCCAACCTGCAGCACGCCGCCGCCCACATGCCCGCCCTGCGCTGGGTGCAGTCCCTCGCCGCGGGGCCCAATGACGTGCTCGCCGCCGGCTTTGACCACGCCCGCGTCACCGTCACCTCGGGCTCCGGCCTGCACAACCGGCCCGTCGCCGAGCACGCCCTCGGTCTGCTGCTCAACGCCGCCCGCCGCTTCTACGAGATGCGCGACTACCAGGTCCGCAAGGAGTGGGCCGGCCACCTCCGCGGCGACCCAACCCTGCCCGGCTACATGTTCTCCTCGCTGCGCAACGCAAACGTGGTCATCTGGGGGTACGGCAACATTGCCAAGACGCTCGCACCTCACTTGCAGGCCCTCGGCGCAACCGTTCGCGGCGTGGCGCGCAATGCCGGCGTCCGCGACGGCGTCGAGGTCTTTGCCGAGGACAAGCTGCCGGAGCTGCTGCGCGCCGCCGATGCGCTCGTCATGATCCTACCGGGGTCGGATGCTACCCGTCATGCGCTCAACGCTGAGAGGCTGGCTCATTTGCGCGAGCACGCGTGGGTCGTCAATGTCGGCCGCGGCACCTCGGTCGACGAGGCCGCCCTGGTCGAGGCCCTCGAGAAGCGTCGGATTGGCGGCGCCGCCCTCGACGTGTTCGAAGAGGAGCCCCTGCCGGTATCGAGCAAGCTCTGGGACGCGCCAAACCTGATTCTCTCGCCACACGCCGCCGGCAACAGGCCTCTGGGATCCGAAGTGCTCATTGCTGAGAATTTGAAGCTCTTTCAGCAAGGCAAGACCTTGACCAACACGATGCCGTAAATCAGCTATCATGACAAGGGTGGTGAATGATGTAGGGGGATAATACCAGAAATCATGGGACTGGCTAAGACTAGTTTTTGCACATATAGAAATGAATTCATGAACATTGATGCTTGCCATGTAGCTCGACACTGCCATCAACACTGGCAATCTCAGTGCCAAGCCCCATCAAAGCCATTAGTCCGCCAACGTGTGTTGAATGGGCACAGAATACATTGACTACACCTTCAATCATTGAATAATACAATTACAGTTTTGATATATAGAACAAAATCGTATCGTTTCTCCAACGATGCTTGAAATGAGCTCCTTCACGTGGTAGCGTAATACTTGCTATCAACCGCCCTGCATTTTGCAAATTGAGGTAGTAGCAGCTCCTTTGAGGTTATTGAATCTGAATTATTTTGAGAAAAAAAAAAGGATACTACAATCTTATTACAAGACGAAGATCTATTTTACATGGCGACTTCTACTTCAATTGCAGTCATGGCCTCTGACCAGGGCCTTTACTATTCCAGTAACAAGTGGGTCCGCCAGCTATCCCAACTCCAAACCTCGAACTTACCTCCCAGCTTTCCTCCCACCATCTCCTCTACCATCCAACCAAACCTCCCACCCTCTTCCCCAACGATGCGCCTCCCAACCACCGCCGCCGGGCTCTTCGCCCTCGCCCACCTCGCTACCTGCACCACCGTCACGCTGCACCTCCCCTCGACGCCCGCGCCGGGCACGCTCTCGCCACGCACCCACGCCACCCTGACCACGCTCGGCCGACGCCTCTCCGCGCCGCTCTCGGCCGCGCACTCGTTTGTCTTTCGCAACGTCAGCGCGGGATCGTACCTGGTCGACGTGCACTGCCCGACGGACGGGTTTGCGCCGCTGCGGGTCGACGTCGTCGGCGGCGACGGCGAAGAGAAAAAAGAAGAAGAAGAAGCGGTGCAGGCATGGGAGACGTATCGCGGCAACGACTGGGGGAATAAAGGCGAGGCGCTGGTGCTGAAGCAAGGGAGTGACGGGACGCAGGGGTTTGAGGTGCGCGCGCTGGGGCGAAAGGGCTATTTCATGGAGCGGCCGAAATGTAGGTATTTTCATTTCTCCAAAACGGAGAGAAGAGAAGAGAAGAGAAGAGAAGAGAGAGAGAGAGAGAGAGAGAGAGAGAGAGAGAGAGAGAGAGAGAGAGAGAGAGAGAGAGAGAGAGAGAGAGAGAGAGAGAGAG